TGTGAGCAAAGACACAGAAGGGGCTCGTTAAAGGAAATTTTATCTCTCTTGGGGTGGCTTGGGGGCTAAGTCAGTCGGGTGGGGTTGGGGAGAGCTGGAAATCAGATGAGCAGGTGAAAGGCTGTAGATGCTGAGGATTCCACCTGCGGGCACTGGGGAGCCACCGGAGAGTTCAGAGCTTCAGAGGCTGTGGTGTGAGAGAGCCCTCTGGTGGTGAGGCAAGGTGACAGCATGGGACGGGGAAATGGGGGCCTTGGTTGGTCCACTCATTCAGGGAGCTGTGGGAGCTCAGAGCAGATCCCCCAATTCATCCTGGTGGGTGGTTGGCGGGGGAGAGGAGACCTCGCCCCACCGGGTGAGCCTGAAACTCAGACGGAGATTGGACTAGGCTGAAGGCCAGGCTGAGCACAGACTCAGCGGAAAATCAGAAAACAGGGCAGGGGCGGCGCTCCGTCCTGGAGTTGGAACCATCGCCCGCACGCTCCGCCCGGCATCGCTGATAACCAAGGAAACCGGTTGCTAGGGGACCATGCTAATGAAGGACTCGCCCACTACCAAGATGGCAAACAATCCGGCTTCAGGCCAGAAACCATGTCCTTTCCTAGAGAGCCATTTTGGAGTCTGGTAAAATTCAGGTTCCTGACCGAAGCCTGGAAAACTGTCCAACCCACGTGAAGAGGAACCCGGAGGGAAAGTGCCAATTAAAACCCGAGGGGGCGGGAAGTGGACTGCTCCAGTTATTTGCCAGAGTCTTCCAGCGGGATCCGGGCGGGCTCTGCCCTTAACCAAGATGGCCGTCCCGAGGCGCCAGCGCTCTGTGGAATACGGCGGCGCTTCCGGTCCCGCTGCCCTCAGCGAAGATGGCGGCAGTGGAGAAGCGGCGGCCGGCCGTGGCTCCGGCGGCCAGTTTCCCCGACAGCGGCCGGCCGGCGGTGTCCCGGGCAGCGGCAGCGACCGAGAGTGAGGAGGACTTCCTGCGGCAGGTCGGCGTGACGGAGATGCTGCGCGCGGCTCTGCTGAAGGTGCTGGAGGCGCGGCCCGAGGAGCCGATCGCCTTCCTGGCGCACTACTTCGAGAACATGGGCCTGCGCTCGCCTGCAAACGGCGGCGCCGGGGAGCCCCCGGGCCAGCTCCTGTTGCAGCAGCAGCGCCTGGGCCGCGCGCTGTGGCACCTTCGCCTGGCTCACCACTCCCAGAGGTGCGGGGCGGGGCCGGGGCGGCGCCGCTGCGGACCTGCAGCCCCAGCTCGCTGCCCGCGGGCGTGCTGGGCACTGTGGTGCGCAAGCCTCCCGGCGGGGGGGTGGGAGTGGGGGGTCTGGCGCCTGTGGTTCTGGCCGTCTTCGTGTGTTGTGATGCCTTTCTGCAGGTGCTGAGTTCCCTCTTGAAGCCCACGCCACTTTTAAAAATCACAAAGTTCAGAGAGGACTTCACCCAAAGTCACGGAGCGAGACCTCCGAGCCAGGTCCTAACAAGCTAGGTTTTTTCCTAGATGTGTTGTTACTAGCGTCGTTGCATCCCCATCCGTTAGGCCAGAAAATGGATATTTACAGGGCTGGGCGGTAGAGTCACCCAAGACCCCTACCTTAGGAGGTAGCTCCCGTGGGGCAGGAGTGGTGTCCAGAAAGAGGCCTGCTTTGGGCACAGGGAAAGGTGCTGCAGGCACGAAGCCGGCGGGTGCACTGGCCTGGAGGCTGTAGAGCTGCAGTGTGGGACCCACAGGCTGCTTAGCCTTCTGGTGGCTGAGGCCTGGTGGGGTGGAGGACATGGCCACCATACCGGAGCACGGCCCCGCCCCCAACCGTTCTGAGCCCAAGGAAGGTGGTTGAGGACCATGGATTGAATGAATGGTCCACATCGGGGGGG